GCAGCCACCAGCCCCCAGACGTCATGCACAGGTCGCCATATCGCTGCTAAACACACGCTCGGACCACCGCAGAGGCGTTAGACGTGCACAACCGCTGCCTTTGTTGCTGTCACGTTTAACGTGTTCCGTCAGTGAGCCAAACAAAGTTGTCGAGCTTCCTCGTTTCGGTCGAGCACCACCAGCAAGTCCCTCTGTCCGTTGGCACCTCCGCGAGCGTTTTCTGATGTCCCTATCGAGTCGGGGCAGCCCCGCAGAACTACGTACACACAAGCCCCGCGTGCCGAACTCCGTTCCCGCTGTTCGTGCATTTTCGTGCGTCTTCCCTTGATGTCCATCATTGTCGGGACCTGTTCATCGCTGCCCGGACCCGCTGATCACTCGCAAAACTTTTGGGCGAGCCGAAGCTTAGCCGTCGAGTCCCGTCGGTGCATTCGTGAAGCCGTTTCACCCCTGTTTTGATTCTTTTGTTCGAATGTCTTCCCAAAATCGGTACCTAGGCTCGAACCTCATCTCGTTTTGATTTCGTGATTTGTGATATTGTGTTAAATTTCTTGCTAAGTTGCTGATCGTGAGAATTAAGAGTTAAATTCGTGCCTTGGATGTTTTTATTGAGCCATATATTGAGTTTAAATGCGATTTGGATATCAAAGTGATTCCCGTCACTTTGGTTTATTGTCGAACTGAGTTTCGAGTGGTATTTTTCGTGGAAATCCTGGAGTTACAGGTACTTGGGGTTGTGCTTGAGTTATTCGTTTTGGTCTGCGGTCGTTTCGATGTGTATATGCCGAATTGTGAATTTTCTAAACCGAGCATGTTGCTGAATCGTAATTAATTCATGATAAATCGTGTGATTGTCCAACTGTCATTAAATTTTATATGTGATGTCCTATGATGATTTTGTAAGTCGTGTAAAATTTTTAAGTCGAAACTCCACCTGTAGCTATTTTAATTAATTAAATCAGTTTCTGGTCAGGATTTTATAAAATGCATTAAAAATAGTACACTTGGAGTTTTGAGCTGAAACTTTGAGGAGTATGTTATTTTGTGGTATTCTGTGTTGTGTCGAAATGTTGGATTAAAATTCGAAGTGTAGCTATATGAACTATTAATGTCGGGTTTTGACACTGTTTTTGTTTAAATTATTTAAAAATGCTCCCGGATGAATTTAGGGCTCAAACTTGGTAAGATTATGTGTTTTTTGTATGCCTTATGATGTGGTAAAGTTTCAGGTTTATTGGTTGAGTCTAACTCTGAATTCTGAACTTTGTTTATTTTGGAGTCTTAATACTCAGTTATCAGTTGTCTAGGTTCGGATTGGATTTTATTGATGTTGGCATGATTTATGTGTTTTACCTGAGGTATATGAGTCGTGTCCATGTCTAGTAGTCGCTCCAAAGTACTTAACTCGGTCAAGGAATCCACGAGTCACTTAGCCGATATGATTTCGGCTAAGTATATGTGCTTGTGTGTGTTGTCTTGGATTGGAAAGTCAGTTGATAGGCTATTATAATTGTTGTAGGTTCATCGAGCTGAACTTTTACCATTGTTCCTTCAACTCTGTGTTTAGCTACATCTCGGTATCCAGGTGGGTTTATTTATAAAATTGTCTATGCCTTGAATAGTGAAGTTTGTTTACTTACTTGGGTATGATTAAAGTATGAAATGTGAACATGTAACCTTCGGCGTGAGCTGTACCGGCCGTCGAGCGGTATCCCCGTAGTTAAAGAACGTACCCGATGGGTAGTCTCCTTTATAAATGTATTACAGACCTTGGCGTGAGCCTTGGTTAGTGATGGATTACCTGCCTAAAACCCTCAGGGTTGGCAGACCTGTCTAAAACCCTCGGGGTTGACAGTGGATTTCCCGTCTAAAACCCTCGGAGTTGACGGATGACTCTCCTACTTTGGCAACGTTAGAGTTCCCACGAGGAGACGATACGTGGACCAAATGTAGTCTATTCTGATAGGTGTGCACATGAGATATGTAATGGACTCTGGACAGGAGATGGGAAAGATTTGATTGTCTATGTTCATACTTGTGACCATGCCATATTTA